GGAAAACCTTAGCGTAAAGTGCCGAATTTGATTTCCCAAGGACTGCTCATTTTGAATGCAGGGACATCTTATTTATCACATTTTTCTTCACGGGGTATTTAACCTACTGTTTTTGTTGGTAGTTACTAATAATTTTTATCTGATCACTATAAAAAAAATCCCAAAATGTTATCCTCGAGCAGGATAAAATATATCGGCTTGCCACGATTCATTCATACACCGAGAGCATCGAAGCTGCTCCAGTTAGGCACTATGGCATCCGTCACCTGAAATTGTTTGTAATCGTAAATACACAGCCAACCTAAATATCTTACTATTATATCTTTGTTTTTGTGTGTGGAAGTAAAGTTATTTATTTTACTCTAGATGTAAAATATACCGGAAGGTACAACTTCACACTGCATCATCTTTTCTCAAATCATTAGTCTCTAATATGATAACACTTTGTACGCTTATGTAAAACGCTGTATATAGTTTCTCCTCCCTGACCTCATCTGAATAAATGTATATAAAAGATTTGTGCAAGTTTCATGAAACTGGAACTCAGAGTCACTTCTTGTATAGGACACTGCTAAGTGTAGGCTTTGAAAAAGGACCCTACTTTGGGGAGTTGTTTCTTCTTTCACAGTGCAATGATGCAACATGTTTTTAATGGAAATGAATGCCGAAATAGAGTATAACAGGGTACCCAAATTTAAAAAAAATCGAAGGTGGTGTTTTTTTTTTATTCGCATTGGAATTTTTCTTTGTTTGATTTTTTTCCCATGTTTGCCTAAATATATTGTAACTATTGTGTCACTCAGATACCTTATTTATTTTTTCAATAATAGCCATATATTAGTAAAATAATGTCTGCAAGTTATGTAATAATGATTAAATTATTTCATGAGATACAGATTTCCAAAGTTTGCCATTTGTCGTTCGAGCAGGCATGTTTGGCAATTTTTAGAAAACTAAATAAATTTTTAATAAATATTATTACTTTATATTACAAGCAAGTTGTACCCATAGTTTGTTTGTAAAAAGTTTTAAAATTCTCCTAATTTTATTGTTTTAATTATTCACTTTCAAACTTGCCCCCTCCATCAGTGCGCGTTATTGCAACTGTCCACCTCTCCCTGCCTTACGATTTTTCTTGTCTCCAAATTTTTTTTTCTGGTCAAAACTAAGTGTGGATTCGTTTATACCAGACACTAGACAATGTCATATAAAAACATCAGTTGATTTAAAAATGTCGACCAGCCACCCTTTGGTCGATCTTATCTGAAATCACCCTAGTATAAAAAAAAAAAAAAAAGTACACAGTATTTACATTAAGTTTTAGAGTGTTTTGAGTAAATGAGTATGTCAGATAATTAATAGGCACTTTTGTGGCCTTATGTCCATTCTCGGGAGGTACCAGTAGACAATTTGCAAGGGCAAATGGACAGTCAAGAGGTGTACCTCGGGAGAAAAGAGAACCACGCAATTCTGACTGCAAAAATAAACTATGTGTTGCAGCGATTTTTGGAAATCTGCAACAAGAAAATAGCGGCTAGTGGCACCTGCGAATGTATAAAGACGTAAGGCGTCAGCTACCATTGGCTCACTTAAAAGATAAAAAAAAAAATGTCTTGCACCTCTTGATTCAGAGAGTGGTTAGTTTTGAAACTTCGGCATCTGGTCCCCAATCGCTAGCCATATGTTTGGGCAAAGACAGAGCGTTCGGCGATGTATAGTTTATTTCTACAGGAAGAAAAACACGGTTCTATTTTCAATACCTTGCACCATGTAACCTATGCAAAAAAAAAAAAAAAAAAAATATATATATATATATATGTCAGGGATTTTTTTGTTCTTTTTCAAGTTATGAAATTGAGTTTTTATGTAAAAGGTGAAAAAAAGGTGAAAAAGAAAAAAGGCGGCGACTGCTGCCTTTTCAGGAAGCCACCGGCAAGCAAGTCAAAGTCAAGGTCTCGCTTCTGAAATCCGTAAACGTCACTTTTGTGTCCGCTGGGAACTATTGTCGCTCCGAATGCACATAAAATGCCCCTTTCCTTTTTCATCAACGAATACTAAGAGAGAAGACTGAACTCTTACTGGAGCCATCCTACATATCATCACGCAATGATCACATACATAAAGTCGAAATTCCACAGTGCCACACTAATACCTACTACAGATCATTCATACCTCGTATGTCTGCTGACTGGAATCACCTTTGCACATTCATCGCCACAATTGTTAATCCTGTTGATATTAAAAATGCTGTATCCATAGTACTATAGTCGGTTACAAGTCAAGAAGGTAGGAGAAGCTCCTCCCACAAGTGTGATGCGCCCGTTTCAAATCTCTCCGCAGTCGAAAGAAGAGTTCACTAAAAACGCTCCTTGTTCCGCTTCAATGGATTCCCACTTGTCTCCGATCCCACTTTTTAAGGAAGCGACCTTTGTATTCATCGGAGAGGGAACCGAGCCCCTGAAAGCAGCCTTTGTATCCATCGGGGGGGAAGCTAATCCCCGAAAGTCGTATTTGTTTCCGTCGGTGGGGGAGAACTCTAATCTCCCTCTCGTGGCTTCCACAATGCTAAGTCGAAGTCGGAAGATAAAGCAAATATGTACAGAAAGGCAAGACCCTCCTCGCGCGTTGGCCGCGACGTCACGGACACGGTGGGACGCTATTGGATGCGGAGGTGGCGGAGGGATATCCGATTCCCTTTGAGGAGCATTTGCCGCTACCTTCTTAACCTGTAACTGACTATAGCACTTGATTTGTGATTTGAGTATTCTATTAACTTCTACGTAATAATCCCACCCCCTCTGTAATGCCTTCGGGCCCTGAGGGTACCAATAAATGAAATGAAATGAAAAAGAAAGGAATCCAACCCCAGTAAAAGACTTTCCAGATTCGGCTTTAGTCGACTAGATTAAAATGCCATTTTACGGCATTTGGTTTTTTACATAGCCTCAAATCATTATGAGGATGTTGACAGCCACTGTGTACCTATATTTAGTTTCCATGGTGACCATCATACCTATTTACTGTTATCTAAAACCTCCTTTTCCTATTCTATAATCAGAAGTCTCCACAGCAGCTGGTTATCCTGGAGGTATGCATGTCCACAGACTGCAGGATTTAAGGCACCAAACCTTGTGCTCGCTTAAAGCTTTGGACAAGTGCAAGCAAGGTAGTCTTGTCTAAAGGGTAACTACGCTTTATTTTTATTTTTGAGAGAACAATGCAGTCGTTTTTAAAATCAACTAGGAAGACTGAGATCAAATATTATGACCTAGTTCTGTCTAAATGTTTCTTAAACAGCCCGGCAAACTTTGGAGCGCACCAAGTTGCCGAAATCTGCTGACTCTGGCGGGCGAATTGAGGCGCAATCAACAGCGCAGTCCAGCCTACGGCGTTAGCGTAGCCAACATTGAGCTAAACATCATAACCATTGCTCTTTTTTGTTTATTTTACTTCTCTGGGCAAGCGTGTTAATGTTTTCTTTCGGCGTTCAATGGTGTTCGAGTGATTGGCGTAACGCGAATGTGCAGTGCACTCCTTGCCAGCTGTCCGGCCATTACAGCCGCCTCCAGTGTCGCAACCGCCGTCGAAGTCTCTCCGATTTCTGCTCATGTTTAAAGTAAGATTTAACAAAATATATCCCATTTTTCGTGAAGCAAATGACGCATTGCCTTTTATTAGTGCTTCTTAATGTGAAATCACTTTAGGCCACCTAGCAAGATCCCACAATACGTCAGACATTTTGTCGTGCCCTCTGTACTCCAATGAACTGTTGATGAGTGCAGAACAATGTTTATTAGGGGGTTCGCAGTCCTTAGCGAAAAGAGAAGCGATGGGAGCAAACCCTCTTCCGCCAATTATACAAGTATATCCACATCCATGTAGCACTACTAGAACCTATTTAAGCCATGACCATCTATGTCACTGACTAAAGGGGGTTTTGTGGTGTTGGTAGTCGAGTTTAGCTGTGATAGTTCTTTGTCGCACGATTGCTTTAAACTGGTGAAGCAGTTAGTAAGTGGCTGACCAGGCGCTACTGAAGTCTGGTGAATACGGGCAATAATATTCGAAGTGTCTAGCGTTACGACCGACATAACCCAAGTTACGTCCAAATCTCCGCCTTTCCTAGGTTCACAGGGAGAGAGAGGAGGGCGGAGGGGAGGGTTAAGTATATGTGTTTCAGTGTTTCGTCCGGACGTAACGCTAGCCACAGCGAATAATATTTGCTGCATCACTGGTTTGACATCCACTCCCTTTTGCACCTACCGATGCAAACTGTCCGGAATAACTTCCTGAGAATAATCAATTAGACCCCTTCTCATGAGGGAAAGTGGCCTCAGGATCTGACAAATGAGCCGCCCCTGCCAGAAAAGGTGCCACAATGAATCTGACAGCAGAACCCACGGTCCGGTGCATAACATTGTACCTTCCAGCCCAGGGTGTGCCTCACTACAAATCAGCTGCTGAGGGCAGTGACCACATGTGTGGCCCTCACTTCATAAGGCAAGGTAACATGATCTTGATTGGCCACAGAACATTTCCCATGATGACGATCTGTCAACATGAGAGCAGTGTAGCACAGCTGTTTTGACATGTCCCACGGATGAAAAGCGTCTGTCGGCCGTCACCGACCAAGAGCGTACGACGCGCAACGTGTAAGTACGGTTAAAAGGCGCAAATGCCGAAACATGACCGATCACAGCCGCAGCCTGAGGTCGGGTGCGCACACACGGGGCATAGGGAGACGAATGACGCCGACAAATAGCCACCCATGGGGCTTGACCGGTCCCCAAGGGCCCCCGAGGACCCTCCCCGAGGTTTTGGGGACGCAAATTTTGCAACGAAATTAGTTTTAGGCCTAACAAGGGCTAAGCCGCAGGATTCCGTCAAGGTGTCGGGATGAAGGGTGATGTCAAAGAAAATTCCAGCACCGTGCGCACCTCAACCCGACCACAGCGAGCAAAAAAACTGAAGACGCCGAAACCGCGTCCGAGGGAACTCACTCGTAGTCCTTGAAGACCTCGTTCGTCAGTCGGCAGTGGAAGACTTCGTCGTTGGGCTTGAGATCGGCCGGTGGTTTCTGCCGAATGAATGGGTGCTTCCCGTAGTGCGGCATGATTGAGCCCGTGCGAACTCGGAGCGAGATGGCTTCGCCAGAAAGGGTTCAAGTTCTTTCCATGAGATCTCGGTCAGAGTTCAGTCAGGGTGTCGAAACGTTGTTTGCGCGGGGGCCTAAAATCGGGCACCGTCCGCCGCCGCCGCGGACATCGCCGAAAAAGCGGCCGACCGCTTTGAAGCCGGACGACAGCGAACGCGAACTTGGGAAAGATCGCCGCGCCGCTCTCCTGGGCGTCCTCAGCTCGTTTGAGGTGACTCTCGTGGGATCTTGGGGGAACGAACACGATCACCGGGTCGGACTAACTTCAGAAAGTCAAAAGAAATAGCGTACGAGTCGAAGATGGGACAAACGCGCGCACAAGATTCTGGTCACACGCTGCCGAAAATCACAACTCGGCCAGGCGGGACTCTAAACCGGAACCGGCCGAAGACGATTGGCTTAAAAGCGAACTGCATTAATAACTGGATACAAAATAAATCTATTTTTTATGAAATAGAAGTTCAGCAGCGACACCTAGTTTGGAGTTATATTCATTTAGTTGTTTGGAAAGTTTAGTGCACTCAAGCTTATTTGACGTAAGTTGACCTAACTGGTTCTTACCGTTCCTAATATAAAACACAAATAAATCTAATCAATGCGACTTACCAGTTTGGCGGGGTAGAGTCGGTTTGGTAAAGTACCCAAGAGTCTAGCGAGAGTAAGCGAGAGTTGAACTGTTAGCGCAACCCATAGAGTTATTATAATGTACGCTAGAGGTTCAACTGGCGCTAGTGTCTATGCGACTTCCGTGACGCAAATTGAAGCAGACAGCAACCAGTCTACTTTTCCAGTCTTCCTGTGTATTCCTATGGGAAAGCGCGCGTGCATTTTGTCTCTTCGCCGGAAAATAACACGGAACACTTTGGTTATTTGGGTCGTACCGAATAGTATGTACCTTGATTAACACTGTAAAAGTGTAATTGCTTTAGTTAGCGCATTTTTCTTCATCAGTGAACGATGTTTAACTTCGCTACATTTCAGTCCCAAACGTGTGTTCCGCAGCAGGTGTGTAAAAACAAGCGACGATTCGAAGCAAAATTACAATCGAAAGGAATGTAGAGTGTGTTCAAGGCTCGCCAGCAATCCGGTGACGCTTATATATTGCTAATATGCCAGCCCTGTCACTATATAAAAATGACCCCGTCGTGCATGAGCGGATAAAAACATTCAAAACGTAGAGAATAAAGTCCGTTTGCTATGAAAGGTGTCTTCGTATTGTTTTTTCTGCCGGGCAGCTTTTATCTGGCACTTGTTCTCAAAGATTTCGAGCGTGCGAGTGATATTTTGAACGTAGAACAAGCAGCTTCGCTCACAGCAGGAAGAATAAAACGGTACTTACTTATTTAAAATAGGAATAGATTACGTGGCCTTCAATCAATTTTGATCGTACATGCACGTGTATGTTACTGATCCGGTGTTACTGCGTAGTTCTTGCCGTCTTTCTTAATTTCCAGATGTTCTTCGTTCGTTTGGCACGGGGCACGCTGAAAAGCGCCGACGTCGTGTTCGCGCTAACAGTGTCCGACAGTGACATAAATACACGTACGAAGCTGTTTTAGCACCGTTTTTATTGCGATGAATTTGAAAGAAAAACACCGTAATTGACCAATTATTTCGTCGGCATGACTGAGAAATGTTCTAAGCTACCTATTACGTATGAATTATTCGGGATATTTGCGCTTATGATCGAGCGCAGAGAGAAAATGCACTCACTTTTTCCCATAGAAATGCATTACCGGAAGTCAATTTTCGACTGGTTGCTGTCTGCTTCAATTTGCGTCAGCACACTAGCGCCACTTGAACCTCTAGCGTACATTATAATAACTCTATGGCGCAACCTTCTCATAGTTGCGGCAAACAAGAACTAGCGCCGTTTGTATTTGACCAAACGCTTTTCGTAATTGTCGGGAGATCACGAAATGAACCACCCAAAAAAGTTGAAATTTTTAAGATTTTTTATTTTTTTTTTTATTTTTTTTAGAGCAGTGGTTCTCAAATGGGGGTCCTCGGACCCTTTGGGATTCGCGAAGGCATTCTTTGAGTCCGCGAAGCCTTGCCTCATCTGTGAAACCCGGCAATATTTTCAGATCGAAAAGAAAATTTTCAGTTTTCAGGCGGGTTTTCTCGTATGTATGTCAATAAGAGAAGTCCACTTCACACTAGCCCTTAGTTATAACCATTTATAAAATTATCATTATATTTAACTTATACCTTTTCCCTTCCTTCACCACGAACGGGATCTTCCATAATCTCCGACGATCCACAGACATCGATGGTTGAGAACCACTGCTTTAGAGCAATGAAGATACACCACTGACCCGAAAATCAAGCATCATAGGCGAACATTTTCATGGATGGATTTAGAGGCCCACTTAACAGCTAGCGCCTATGTAGGCGTTAGTGAACGTAAATTTGGTTGCTGATTCGGTTCATGTAGTTTCCACCATAGGTTTCCACTGTAGTTTCGATTTGGTTGGATGGATAAATGGACAACATTGTCAGTACCATTTACATTGGAAGGTAGCTAGTGCCACCTAGTGAGTTTAAATCCTGCTTTTAAATTTTTTTAACTTTTGAATTAAATTAAATTTTGAATTAATTGAATTAAACCCCTCAATTTCGCCGAATTATATATCTAGCATTTTTTTAGACCACCTGAGACTGGGTGGAAGAAACACGACGAACGTCTCAAACACAGCTAACCACTTTATTCAGTTTTCCCTCCTTTTATACATCCTGATCCAAAAATCGTCACCATAAAAAAACACTCCAAACAAAGGCACCAAGGGGACACATCTTGACTTCGCAGCCACAACAATGCTAAAAAAAAAAAAGAAAAAATCAACGAATTATTTTGAACTAACAAAAGCTACACACACATCAAAACGTCGGCCGAAGGTAACATTCTTTGACCTCGCAGCCACTCTTACAAAAGACAAAGAAAACGACCCACACGGAACCGACTGCAGTTCGAACCCATCAACCTAATACACCTTTTTGTACAGTACAGTATACAAACGGACCAAGAACATGACAAAGGAGGCACCTCTGGCGAAAGCACACAAAACCTGTTCACTTCATACTCGCAGAAAAGCTTTCGCCCTATCACTAAGAAGCATAGACGCCTGGCTTATGCAATTGCCGATCGACCTAATTTTTACTGTCTCTCTTACAACCCTTTTAACGTCATTTATCTCTTTGCATACTACCGTTGTACCGGACCACTCGGCTGAGCAGTTTTTGCATTCTTGTACATGTGTCGCAATTTCGGAATTAGTCGATTTTATCTGTACGTTTCTCTTGTGCTCAGTCAGACGATCGTTCAAGCATCTTGAGGTCTGCCCTATATACTTAAAACCGCACGTCATCGGTATGTCGTAAACAACGCCAGTCTCACAAGGCACAGACTTTTCCCTGTGGCCCTTTTGGCACCCTTTTTGCTCTCTTTGGAACGGAGTGAGGTTGCCCAACTTAAAGTCCGAGCTGAAAACTACATTAACGCCAAATTTTTTTGCACACGCTTTTATATTGTGTGACACGGTGTGAAAATACGGCATCACTGCGATCCTGTTTCTCGATTTTTCCTCCGCCTTTTCCTTTTCCCGGTTCATTAATGTCATTTGCCTCCCGATGAAGTCTTCCTCGTAGCCTGCGTTCATCACTCGTTGCCACTGCCCCCTCACTGCCCTAGCCACGAAATGAACACATGACCTGTTTTCTTCTTAAAAGCTACAATCCCTACGGCGGAGGCGCCTCTGGCAGCCTAGTGTACCCACCTTCTGCCCTACGGATCGTACGTTTAACCCAACGTTACTAAAACACTCAGTTGGGAAACTCCCATAGAGACAGCTTTGAAGAAGTGGCCCCGAACTGTCTCCAAGCACCGAGCTAATGACGAACACGACGCCACCATTTCTCCCGCAGCGGCCACTCGAGGAACTGCACGTGACTTCTATTTTGGTTACAAGAACAGATACAGCGGTAGAGGTTACAGGGGTGCCACCCCCATCTCCCCGGCGGACGCGCCGCGTTCAACTACCGAAGCTAAAATGCACCTAGGGCAGGACGTGCTACCTGAAAGGCCCGCTGAGGCATGGTTGTATAAAAACAATATTAATTGTGCCGCAAAACCCTGCAAACTAAAGATTTTAAAAACATAACGCGCCCCTCTTTTGGTACTAAACTCCAATAAATTTCATACAAAAAGAGTCTTTTGCGTTTGTTTTTACGCAAAAACAGGCTTTCAAAAAGCTCAAGGTGACCACAGTACAGATAAATGATAAAGAGTGGCGCTGTTGTCGCATTTAGCTCGGTCTCGGTGGACGCCAGCGGCCCAGGTTTCGACGGCGAGTTTCCCAACTGAGTGTTTTAGTAACGTTGGTTTAACCCAAGGTCGTTGGTCTAACCCTACAATTTTGTGAAATATAACACTTCCCTAGATCTTTTCCACCAGTCTTCTAACCTTTTCTTTGTTATTGTAATTATTTTTTCGTCTATCCTCCCACTCCCATCAACAAAACCCAGCGCTCCTGCCAAAGCTTTCCTCATCTGCGGATGACTATTTCGACGTCCATTTTCCAAATAATTTGGAATATTATTTTGACATCTGTGACGCCAGTTCCTGAAGACGTGAAAATATTCTCAAAACATTTTGACGTCCCCTGTCAAAATATTTTATATATGTTTTATATTTTATTATATAAATATCGAAGCAGGCGGTAAAAAACATAGCATCTTGCTTGCAGGCAGTGTCGCAGATCGACATGCATTTTCTGAAAACAAATGTAATGTAGTCGACTGCTGTTTTTATAACCTTTTAAATAATGTAAAATGCAAAAAAAAAAATATATATATATATTTTTTCAAAGTGCATTAGTTATTAGGCCACACGTAAGTCGGACCGAAACTTCTTAGGCACGCAACGCATGAATCCGTCAAAACTCCAACAGAACACCGACAATACCATCAGAAACTAAACAGAATGAAATTTCAGAACGGCTATCACTACGGCGGACGCTGCATTGAAGGAGGACGTCAAAATAATAAAGCCACTCTTTTGACGTTTTACAAAAGTGACGTCCAAGACGTAAAAATAATTTTTAAAATATTTTGACGGTGGACGTCGAAACAGTCACCGCCTTTCGACTTCGGATTCCGAGCTTTCGCTCATATGCATGCTACCGTGTATCCTGTTGTATCTTGGTTATCTTGGTTGCCATTTCGGCTAGAACATTTTCTGCTTATAAATCCCAATTTTATTATTGCCATCATAAATTTAAAAAAAAAGAATGCATTCTGACATAAACATAACAAATATATTTGTGCGTATTCTTGTCTATGGCGGTTTCTTTTGTTCACAATCAAGTAC